AATAATAGCAACACTACAACAATGAAGAAGGTACCGTAGCAACCGTTTTGACACTGACAATCATTTTTATGTCAATGTTTTTATTAAACGTTGTCCCTTTAAAGTTTGTGTGGCACAGATTTCTAATTTATAGACGAAATGTGTTGAAATGGCTTTGTTTTCAAATTTGGAATGCACCGATATCTTTTTAACGTACGGTGAAGCTCGGGGAAATGGCACTCGCGCCCAACGAATTTTTCCAGAAAACCTTCCAAATCGTCGTCTGCCAAATGTGCGCACTTTTAAGAACGTTGCAGCATTTTCGAGAGTACGGATCTTTTAAACCTCCACCTCAGGATGGGGATAAGTTACGTAGTAATAGAATTGCTAATATTGAAGAGGCTGTTTTGAAGAGTGTTGAAGCTCGACCGAGCACTAGCACGTATCACTGTCTAGTGTGATGTATCGGAGAGTAGTATTTGGAGGATACTCAGAGAACAAATGTACCCCTTTCAGGACCAGAAAGTTCAGTTATTGAAACTAACAGACTTACCACGTAGGCAAAACTTTTGTGAGTGGGTTAATAGAAAAATAAACGAACAAATAAATTTTGTATCTCTTATACCATCAACTGATGAGGTCGGTTACACGAGGGAAAGTGTTCAACACCCACATTTGGGCCGATAAAATTCCGTACGCCATTAGGGAGTAGGATTTTCAATTTCTCTCTAAATGTTTGCCACATTGACAAGATTAGGAAAATACGTATCCTAGTAACTGTTTTTGACCATAAATTATTAATTATAGTAATTATTAGTTTCCATGGGTGACTGAGAATCCATGGGCGGGTAACCTTAATTGGGGTATAACTTTAACAATTTTTAACTTGATAATTAAAAAGTTCTTGACAAAACTTTACTAAAAAAAGTTGTTGAGTTCAATGAGCTCTATAACTGATTAAAATTAATGTACTTATTTCTGAGACACCCTGTATAGTTTTAAATGACAATAAAACGGTGTTCACTTTAAAACACATCAAAAATATGTAATTATTGCGCACAATTTTCTAGGGATCACTATAATTTATAAGCTATTATGGAATGACATGGTTTATCAACGGTTAAGAAATTTAGTTAATAATAATTATTATTATAAATGAATCAGTCAATTTATTTTATTGAATAAATCAAGAATTACAAAACTGAATACTTTGAAATTGATAATAAAAATATATCTGTTGATCCCCCGACAAAATTTATGATGTCATCTTAAAATTTTGCCGAAAAAATTCTGTCCAAAATGTGCAAAATATAATGAGTTTTTACTTGTGATTTATCATTGCATTCATATCTTTTAGATTTGCATATACAGGTGGCTCAAAAAATTAATTAATGATTTAATTAATTTTATTGATTAAATCAGAAACGACTCACTTTATTTACGCAGAACATTTTAAGAATACGATACTGTTGTTTTTCAATTTCCATTTTACACTAAATAAAATAAGTCAGTGAAATGGAGAAAGGAGGTGGGCGGGGCTAAATTTGGTTTTTTCTAGTTTTATGAGCAAGCAGTAGCCTCGCCCACCCGCCCTTTTCTGTTAGAGGATATGTCATTTACCACAATCAATTTTATCTTAACAAGTACTAATTATTAATATTTATAATCCACCAGGTACATTGATGGTAGCGTTTTTCGCATTCAATATGATATGTGATCTAACCATTCACTAATTCCATATAAAATGTTCAAAGTAAAGCGTCTTGTTACAAAGGTGATGTCAAAGATTGGTTATCGAAAGGACTGTGGAAAATATTTTCAAAATTGAAAGATACTAACTTTATAAGTTTATAACGGGTGATCAAAAAGTTTTCAGATTAGGGTAGACTACGGAAATATTACTTATTTCCTTGATTAAATCATACACGTCAAATTTCAAACATGTCAAATTAAATTTCCAATAAGGTTATGTCTGTTTTCACTCACGAGCCAAAGAGTAAACGGACAAAAATTAACAACGATTCCATGGTGACAAAAAAATCATTTTAAACTGGCTGTAAATTTATTAAATTAAATACTTTTAATAGTGGTTTCTCGTTTGGATTTTAACATCTTCGATGTGTTGACATTGACATTTGTAAAGTTGACCGGTTTAATGAAAAAAATGAAAAATATTCCCATAGACTACCCGAATCTGAAAAGTTTTTGATCACCCGTTTTATCTATACTACTAAAAGTAACAAATATATAAATATTTTAGGATTCATGATTCATAGTACCAATTATTACTTACCAAGCGTAAGCTAAGGAAGTGTAGTAATTGAGTTTATCGCACTTTCATATTTTCTCAACATTTCATGATCCCTAGAGTACGAAAAAAGTGATCTCCCGTTTCCGTTTGTCTGTCCGTTTGTCTGTCTGTCTGTCGTCTGTATCAATTTCTATTAGGTACATAAAATGTAACACTTTCAAACGTTTTAAATATACTGTACTGTACAAACTAAACTTATTATTTTTCAACACATATGTCAGTTTACGTTCTCGAGAGATAGTTCACTTCGGAGCTGCGCTCCTCGGCAAACTATATTTTTTCTCGAAAGTAATTAATAAGACACTTGGTATGTAATATGCTATTTGAAATTGACGTAAGTTTATGAAATATACTGACAGTTTATTGAAAACATCTTTATATAAATATCCAGTAGTTTCGGAGATTACATCTTAATACATTATAATAAGTAAATGATCTTGCATCTCACTAACAGATTAAATAATTAATTACAAAAATCAGTTAAAGATACATTCAAATAAAAAAAAATGTTGCATGCTATAGAAACACTTGCTCATTAAAAGTCGCTTAAATTCTTTTATTTAGAATCGGTCAGTTATGTGACTAGAGATGTTGGTGAGTTTGTTTTATTTTTTTATACAGTTTTTTTTTGTTTTAAAAAATAAGACATGTTTTTTTTGTTATAACTATTTTTTTTTATTATCTTTTTCAAATGTTATAAACCGATGTTAGTTTTTGTTAGAAAGAGCAGAAATTTTGAAATTTTAGAAAACTGTACAAATTAATCAAACAAATTTATTTTTTATAAATTTCTTTAATGAATATTCTTACCAATTCTATGCTGACAACTGCAGAATAAAATAATTAAAACATCAATGTAAAGTCGTACCAGAAAACTATAAAACATATCAAGAAAATTAATTGGTCTAATCTTTATTAAAAATTTTCAGGCTGTGATAGAATGTTGTTGAAGTATTCGTTGTTTCCAAGTAGTTCAAATTTAAAACCAAGAATGGGCCTACCGCAAATTTTAAAATTTTTGAGCTTTTTAAATAACAAATACTTGCTAATTTACGGAAACAAAGTATATTTTAACTGCCTATTTCATTAAAACTGTTAAATGTTTATAACAACAAAAAACACCAAAAAACTTAAACAATAAAAATAGACTCATTTAATAAAAAACTGTTTTTTAACATCTATATCTAGTATTAACTAAGTATTAATGTTCAGTGGCGGCCAAAATAAAGTAGGACCCTCTTGAAAGGATTGTTTCAAGAAATTTAGTTGTGTAAACTTGACTAACTTGAATAGGTGTTCATTAACTAATTAATTTGAATTAATTAATTTCAAATTTACACTGGGGAAAGAAAAGTGTCCTAATTTATTTTGGTCGCCAGTGTATGAATTAATCGTTGGATCTGACATGTGTAAAATTTTCATACTTTATTTTACTTTAAAGTCACAACAAAACTTAGTGACAAGTAGATTCGCAACAATAACCTACACTTATTGATTTGTTAAAATTTTGAAGCTTTAGCCACTACAAGTGGCAAAATAGAGTGATTGACCCAAAACATAATTAAAAATTAAAAAATTCATTTGACATATAGGTCCCTAAGTGATACTGCGGTGTTAATGTTAATCTATACAGTAGCGGTCATTTCTACGGAACCACTCGATAAAAAGTCAAGTTGGTAGCCCTGTCATCTAGTACTTTACTCCGAACGCGGTTGGTAGCGGTAGTTGATATAGCAATCGAAACTAGCACAACACGAATGTTTCGGTTGCCCTCAGTTATGCCGCACTGTATCCCGTGCAGACTGTATGTTCTGTTCATCTATTTATTAAAATAAAATATCTACATTGACAATGGGGCCATCTAACCTGTCAAATTTTTGACACATATGTTTTCCCCCAGAAACCCGTCAAGGTCACTTACACCAATCAAATTTTGAAAATTTACACTAGGGAGTGGTTCTATAGAAAAGATCGCGACTTTATTTCGGAATCTTGTAGTCTTTGTGGTTGAGATGAGGAAATTCGGTGCGGTGCATATCCATTTTTTTTTTTTTAATAAAATACTTAAGGAGAATTTATGTAATTTTCTACGTTTTGATTGAGATTAATTTTCATCTATTGTTTAACTCTCTACCTTTATTTTTTTACTACTGTGGAGATTTAATTATGGTAAAGTGAGACAGTCAAGAATAAAATATTGCATTTTACTTGTTATTTTGGAGTTCGGGGAAGTTTGCATTTCAGAATCCACGTGCTATGAAAACTAAAAGTCTAGTTTCACGCTAAAAATATAGCAACCTTTCGGTTTTTACCACGTCTAAAACGAAACTTTGGCACCGCTACCCTGCCTAATGACTTTTTCCTATACGTGGGCGCACATTCAAGTCTTCAGTCCTGCCAACCGCCCCTGTTCCTGTTCCTTGCGTCGAAAAGCGCACGAAGCATTTGGCAAAACCGTATTTTCGTGCGTACGGTGACCCCGAGCGTCACGTGGAGCCCCGCTCTATTATTGGTTTGTTTACGGACGAGCATCTCGCATCTGTAAAATTCCGCCAGCGCACTCGGCCGGCCTTCAAACCCCCCGCGCTCGCCCCCATGAACTTGGTAACATTTCATTTTTCGGTTGGCAACGATCAGCTGAGCGCGCCGCCCGCGTCATCAGCTGGTATTAACAAATGACTCTCGTTTTCTCGCGAGCCGATGACTGCCACCACACCACTCGGTTTACTCGTTATTTCTGTTAGTCACCGGTCTGCCTTATGAGCGCGAACTGCATTTGTGCATGGCGAAATGGTGTTTTGCACGTGTTTTTGCCGCCGCAGCCGCCAGATAGTGCGTTTTTTGCAGTCTCGTTTTCCGCTAAAATAAACAAAGTGCTTTATTGAGTGGCTTTTGGATGTACTTGGTTGTTTTATGCCGTACGGTTTTTTAGTGTTGTGCTTTGGTCGAATTTTTTGTGTGCGTGGAGGCGGTTTTTCGTTTTTCTCTCCCCACGAATTTTTCGCTGAATTCATGGTTTGGAAAACTTATTTCGCTCTCGTCGGATTCGCTACTTATTGCCAGTAAGGTAATTGTTGGCCCTCTGCGATCGCGGTGAACTCATATGTCAGACACTTGACGTTAATGACAGTTGATCTGGAGATGACATAACACCTTAAAATTATTAAAAAAATTAAAACTGGGCGAATTAGCGCGCCGATTACATTAGTGAAAGCACGGGTAATTAACGCGATCATTTAAAGCGCAACTACCTTGCGTCAAGGAAAAGCGCGTTTTAACATTTTTTTGGTAATGCTGATGCTTCCTACTTGGAATTTTTTTGTTGCTTTAAATTCGCTTATCTCATTTATAAAACCCCGGCACCCAACCTAAGATAGTTGCTATCATATCCTGTTTTTCGAAGGTCACGTGTGAAAGAACGGCTGTTATTAGAGAAAATTCATGAATAAATCATTGACAGTGGCGTAACAATGATTTTTACGCTTGGCGGCCATTTATTTCATTGCACTATGCTGTAGGAAAAAATATAAAAATTACAACGAAAAAGTGTTACACAGCATCAGCAAATTAGTTCTTTAAACTATAGAGCAGTTATATGTGACGTCACTGTCTTAATTAATATGGTTAGGGAGCCATATTTCATAAAAGTAAACCAAATGTCAGTTGTAAAAAAGCTGGCGAGCAGCTGTCGATTATTTACCCTTTACCTATATGTAAATAGTTCGTCAGTTTACCTCCGACCCGTTATTATTAGCCGCGAGATACGCTGTTAGTACAGAAAGTATTAAAGTGCAGACTGTATAGTAAAAGTAATAGTAAATAGTAATAAATTGCCGGCATTGTTTCGAGTGAAAATGAGGAAAATCCAAACCACAGACCGCATAAATAAATTTGCCAGCACAAATCACGTGGACTCAGGATTTATGTCCCTGTCAAGCTGAAACGCTATACGTAAATATATGGAGTGTATTTACAAAGACATAATCCCTATTATTAATAATAAGTACGAAATACATCTTAGTCACCGCAATGTATCCCCTTTTTGTCATCTAATTTTAGCAGATACATAACTATATCACACCACTAGTGGCAACAACCGAAAACAATGCTCCAAAAATTTGTTTTTACATAAATTACAATGATGTTTTCCCAATTTTCCATGCTTTATGAATGAAAGTCAAGGACGCGGTATTAATACAACGTCCTTGACGGAATGCATTTCTCAAGGGGTTTTATTTAAATTTGAATTTCACACCGACCATGATTCATTTGTTTGATGTCACCTAAAATGACGGCATAGTTAAAAAAACACGTTTCACAACCAAAAAACAATAATACTAAAACGTGTAACAGACTAAAATTAATATAAATGTATTGTTTTTTCAATTTCAAGTGCGTTTCATGACGATGTGGTATGCTATTTACGACTTTCTGCGTAAGAGTCGGCTATGGAAATGTTTTTAGTTTAAAAACAGCTTTAAAAATGAGGTTATGAATTCGATCCTTCAGTGTGACAAAAATGTAGAAACTGCGTCGCTAAAAGTAGATTTCCTTTTTCGGATGGTGTGATAAACTTGACTGTTAAGAGATTTTTATTCTTAAACAAAACAAACCTGGATCTTTAAACATTTCATTGTGAATTTCATTACGCGATGTATAACTTTTTTAGCATATTTTTTGCTGCAAGAGTAATAAATGATCTTTCAGTACAATCACTTTGAAAATCAGTAATGTTAAATATTAACATAATACTAAGGAAATTTTATTCATTATCTAGGTCATCGTCATCATTTGATTCGGATTCAGATTTTCCTAAAGAAATATTAAAAGTAGGAATATTTTCGCTTGGTAAATTGCCATTTGTCTGGGGTACATCTAGAGATGGATTCAAGCCATAAATTTGCTATTTTATTTGGAGATTTAGGTCGCGAATTTATGTTTATTGTAGAAACGCACAGGCTATTTCGAAAGGATTATATTGACAATGGTCTATCAATGCTTCATAGGTGTAATTAAATTGCAGAGTCCTTTTTTCGAAAATTTTTCGTTGAAATTGACACAATGATTAATAAGCCATTCCTGTATTGGACTTTTTTACACGAGAATGTAGCAGGTGCATTGTTCGAAACTACCACAGATCGCCTATGCAGCTTATTCAAAATAGTTATTATTACTGATTATTCACCCATTATCTTGTGCTAGTCCCTGTTATTATTTTTGAATTTGGTCAAAAATCACTATCCTCTAAAAAGCCAAAAAAAAAAACACCCTTCTTGAAGCTTCACTGGTAGTTTTAATTGGGTTATTTGTCAAATAGGTTTCATGTACCCACGGTTGTAGAATAGATAGGTTGATACACTAGCATACATTTGCATATCCCTGGTCAGCGACGCCAATTGCCGATCGCGTCGCCTGGTTTTTGACGTTTTAGGGACACAGAACTCTATAGGCATCTGTCTATAACCGATGTAATTAATAAAAGAAATCGTACTTATCGACTCCGATCAAATGTCATTTACAAATTTTGCATTGTTCATAAAGCAATGTAAACGAAAATCCCCAAAATAACTAGAATGATTTCCGCTCGACAAGGTAGAGGCGCTAGCTATATGTGTCCTTTCCATGGATATAGGGATCGAAAAGAAGCGTCGCCATCCCAAGCCATTAGTGTACAAACCTATCTATTCTACAACCGTGCATGTACCCAACAACGAAAGATCAAATATACAAACAATATACATAGTTTCAATTTTGAAATTGTAAAATTTTCTTAAGGAAGTAATTTTTGTCTTACAATAGACTGATGAAAATATCAATTTGATATTGATGTTTTGTGTAAGTTACCAATTGACGGTTTAATCGCTTTCGAATAATTTCGACATAATTCCAATCTTCTGATAAGTTGCTTTGTTTCTAACACATTTTTAATAATGCCAAGTAATTCCAGCATAATCCAGTAATTGTGAAAATAATCCATCAATTCCAAAAAAATACTGATTATAGATCAATAAAATAATTTCATAAAAATATCACCAAATGTTAAGCAGCTTGAACAAGATTTTTAAATTAACTGTTATAAAAAGTTAATCTGCCGTCTACTTCACTATTGCGATACCAGAGTCCAAAGGATAGTACGTAGGTTAAATAATAATTTTCAAAAAGTTGCAACCACCGAATTTTTTTTTATATTTTAAAGTCAAACAAAGCTGTAAATCTTTTTTGATCTATTACATAAAGTCAACGTATTATAAATTTAACCGCTTACGTGTACTGATTTTGAGACAATTTTTAGCTATTACGATGAGTAAAGTCGAACTTGGAAAATTTAAAGTGTGTTGGGTACATATAAGTGTTGAAACATTGGTTGATTTTGTTGACATTTTGAGATTTTACTTCCACTGTTTATCAAAGTGCTACAATATGTAAAATGGAAAATTTGAGTACGATTATTTTTTTTGGGTTTTTCGTCTTGTTAGAAAAAATCTCATGGCTGCCTTCGATCGTGTTTTTGTTGCTCATTTAGTACAACCTGGAAACGTCATTCTTTGTGTTTTGCTATTTAGTATAAGTGCTAGCTGAATGTGTTTGAAATTTGTGTCTACTCTAAGTGTAGACTATACTAATTTCTAGCTTTTAGTACCCGTTTTTTACAATTTTTGACAAGTTGTTAATAATTAATAATTATTATAATAATATAAAACTACTTCAGCAATTTAATGAACAAAAAAATAACTAACCACTTTATTACCCAATAATGGATGCACGCTATTATGATTCTCAGCTGACGATATCAAATGGTTTTTAAATTGACGAATTGTGTTGACAGCTAATCCCAAAGGTGAAACGATCCAAAGATGCGCTACACTGATAGATGCAATTTGTCTTTTATTTTTTTGCAATCAGGTATTGAAATGTTGGTCGCTGATCTTGTTGTGAAAAGGTATTAAAGTTGATGTTGAATGGACTTCATTCATTGAGGCTCGCTATTCTAATGAATGCATATTTCTTTGTGTAAGAGCAAGAAACATGAGTTGCAGTTTCATAGGCAATGTAGTAGTTTGATATTCGAGATAACTTTGCTCAGCGTACTATCGACAGTAGTCCAAATATTTTGATATTTCGAAATGGTCCCATTTGTTGCCTCTTTCAATTGTAGAGGAATAAAAAAAAATATCTACACCGTTAAAATATACACTTCATTTTTTGATAATAGTTCAAGTGGACGTGATTTTAAATCTTGTTTGGAACAGACATAAAATTGATAGTGAACAGATTATTTATTACTTTTCTATAATTTTGAGGTACCGTGATTACGTCACTAAACACTCGAATTAAGAGCAAAACGTGAATTTTAATTCACTTGCATCACTCTTCAAAACTAAAACTATAGTAGTGATTTCATTGTTTTTATTTTATTGCAGATTTTACCGACATTCAGTTTATTAGTGACAAGGTAGTGACTTTTAGATTAACGACCGAACATAAATCATAAAAATCCATTTTTGGCAGCTGAGTGTTTCAGCAATGATCGATCATATTCTGTTTAGTTTTATTTCTTATCATTTAATATTCGAGGAATTGCTAAGCTGTGTACGTATTTCTTCCTACTTTACATCCAGTGAACAATAACAATAATAAGGTGTTTGAATTTTCATTGATAGTTAACATTTTTATGAGGCTCGTTTTTGTTCTCCTATTTTTGCATTTTCATGCAGCGTCTATTTACGAAGGTGACATCATTTTTGTAGGAGTACCTAGCTGTGATAATCACGACTAGGTGGAGCAGTAATTGTTTTTTAACGTTTCTGTTTTACTTGCAACAATTATGGACGTCGGAAAAGGTGTGCTTGGTTATTTCAGGCTTATGCAACGTCTGAGCATTTCTTAAAAGGTATTATTAGAAGAAAATTCTATTAAGTAATCTATAAAACAATCTATTTCTATTACCCCATGTCGATCTTATCTGTTGAACAAATGAATCAAATTGTCTCAAGTTAGTTTTTGTACCTAATTGAATTTATCAATCAGTATTTATTTTCTTTTCAAAATTAATCCACTCTTTCCGCA